CTCATTCTCAGAATTCAAAAAAAAAAACATAACAAAATTATTTATTTTCGTAACACATCTACTTGATTTGTCATTTATTTTACTATTTAATATATTAATTTCTTTTTATCAATTTTAAAATCAATGATGGACACTACTAATAATTAAAGTGTTGCAAAATTAAAATTCTAATTCGACAATATCAGATTTATATAATCTGATCCATCAATTATTTATTTAATTCTAAAATGAATCATAAGTCAAGAGTAAAATATCATGTTTTGAGTTGGTCTTTTTTATGACTTTTTAAAAATAAATGTAAAGTTACTTACATAAAAATAGGAAAAAAGAAAATATTAAAAAACATTTTAAATAAAAATAATTTATGCAAGTAAAGAAAAACATGTGACAGATAATTATTGATAAATATGACAATTTTTTTTAAAAAAATCTTAAGTCAAAAGTAAAATATCTTGAATACTTTATTTTTAAAGTTGAACCTTTTAATGATCTTTAAAGTTACTTATATATATTTTAAACTAATAAAAAATTAATTTTTTTATAAGTAAATATAATTTGTGCTAGCAAACAAACACCTATAACAAATAAATGTGGATCAATATAACAATATTATTTATTTTCTACTTGTATAACTGATAAATATCAATAGATATGACAATTTTATATATATGTTTGTTTTCTTGAATAAGTCATAACTTAAAAGTAAAACATAATATCTTGAGTTGATTCTTTTTATGATATTTTAAGAACATGAAGTTAATGCTACTTAAATATTTTTTTAAAAGAAAATATAAGAAATTTATTTACGCAGATAAAGAAATACTTGTAACAAGTAAATGTTAACTAGTTTTTACACTTATTTTCTTTAAAAAAATCTCAAATCAAAAGTAAAACATCATAATTTGAGTTGAATCTTTTTATAATTTTTGTTAAAAATAAAGTTACAGCTAAGTTAACTTTTAAAAAAGATGTACAAAAAATGTATTTAAATTCAAATAAGAAAATACTTATAACAAGTGAATGTTAACAAATATGACAATTTTATTTATTTATTTATTTATTTTCTAAAAATAGCATATATCCAAAGTAGAATGTCATGTTTTAAATATTCAGATTTTGAATTGATCATTTTTATGATTTTAAAAAAATAAAAGTAAAAGCTATTAGAATTTAAGAAGAAAATAATGATAATGAAGAATTTTCACAAGTAAAAATAAGTTCAAGCAAGTAAGCAAAAACTTATATAACAGATAAATGTCAACAATATAATTTCATCTATCTATTTGTTTTCTATATAAAGTAATAAATAAAATAAATTATATTTTTTTGAATATTTAAATCTTGAGGCGAGCTTTTTAATGATTTTTTTAAAAAAAATAATGAAGTTAAAGTTATTTAATTTAAAAATTATAAATAATAAACTATTAAGAAGTTATATTTTGTATTATAAATTTATGCTCTTAAATTTAGTCGTTTTGGTATAAGTTCTTTTTTATAAATTATCAATGTTAAACTCATATATCTTCACGAATCACTTTTTTTGTATTTTCCCTATAAATCTTGCTCAACTTACATTTTTTATGGGCGTCACAGAGTAAATCACCAATTGGCTCCTTATAAATAATGTTAGGGATTAGCCGCCTCATCCTTAGAATCCAAAAAAGAAAGAGACACAACAAAATTATTTTATTTCAATGACATATCTATCGATTTCGTAAGTTACCCGATTGATTTTATCATAACCCTAATAGTCAATAGTTGAAATTCCGTTCTAACTTAAGATTCTTGTTTAACTTAAGATTCTTGTGGCTCTTGAGTGCAGGAGAATCATGAACGAAGGGTCTTTTGCCGACTCTTTAACCCTAGAAATAACAATGATTTCTATCTGTCAATTTCGGTAAGTATCAATGGTACAAATTCATTTGATTAATTGATTTGATTGATTTGTTTTTTTTGCCAAAGCTGAAATCTTACTTAAGATTTTTGTGGTTATTGAGTGTTGGAGAAATGAAAACGGAGGGTTTTTGCCGACTCTTTGACCTTAAAAATAGATGATGATTTCGATAAGGTTAGTGGTACCGATTTACTTTTTAGCCAAGGTTGTAATCTCTTTCTAATTTAAAGTTCTTGTGATTCTTGAGCGCAGGACAATAGGTGAATCAGAAACATATGGTTTTTGCTGACTTTTTGATCTGAGAAATGGACGGCGATTTCCCCCCCAGCAATTTCGATAAGTATCAGTTGCACATATTCGTTTTATTTATTGATTGATGGATATTTTGCACTTACCATGAACATCAAACAAAACAAAATATAAAAAAAATAGGTCAATTTCTTTAAAAAATATTAGGGTTTTTTTGTAAACTGTATATATCATTAACAAAGAAAAGAACCATTACATCTATAGAGCACCTAAATTCATAGCCACATTCTAAGAAGGTTTTATGTCTTAATGCCTCCAACTGAACAAGAAAATAGTTACATAGAAAAATGTTGACTCAACCTATTACTTCTATTAGCCTTTTTAGATCCCCTGAACAATGTCATTCTTTCTATAAATTCTGATTTTTATCTGTGTAATTACTATGTTACTATTCACAATTGTGTCTCTATACAACTTCCAGTTTCTTTCCCTCCAAGTGTGGTAAACTATGGCACTCCAAACTGCTGCAACCACACTATACAACTTCCAGTTTGTTTCCCTCCAAGTGTGGTAAACTATGGCACTCCAAACTGCTGCAACCACTCTATACAACTTCCAGTTTGTTTCCCTCCAAGTGTGGTAAACTATGGCACTCCAAACTGCTGCAACCACTCTATACAACTTCCAGTTTGTTTCCCTCCAAGTATGGTAAACTATGACACTCCAAACTGCTGCAATCAATTCTTTACAGAATCGACTCCAATGTTTCCTCTTGATTCTTTCTAGTACCTATTGCACCTCACTTGTATACACATGTAGATTAGCCCAATGTTTCCTCTTAATTCTTTCTAGTACCTATCGCACCTCACTTGTATACACATGTATGTTAGCTTTCACTTGTCCCAGCCAAGTGCAGTGGGTAAAAAAATACAACTGGGTCTCCATCACTTGGCTGTAGCATAAACAACATATCTCATTATCAATAGGAATGTTCAAACATAACATCCTCTTCTTAGTAAGTAGTCTGCCTTGTACTGCTAATCACATTATCATTCAATGCCTTGGCTGTGCTACAGAAGTCCAAATAAGATAAACTATCTTTAGCCAGTTCAATTCACCCAGCATTGCTTTGTAGCTGGCAGAGATTGAATATTGGACAGAATGAGTTATTGTACCTCCCTCGTAAATACCAGCTCCTTTTGTTGTTCGACAGTATATTTAACTTTTTCAAATACCAACTGCAATCTAGAGGCAGAATATGTTCCCTAATGGAATCATCATTCCTTATATAGATCTCATGTACCCATTTCACCCACAAAATATTTTTGTTTTTCTGATAACTGCCATATTAATTTGCCTACTCGTACAACATTCCAATTACTGCAGCCCTTAACATTCAACCTTTCAAACTCCTTATGACAATAAATTTTCTCCTATGTGATACTTTCCTCATCTCCTCATTACTCACCCAGAGATAGTTCCTACAAATTCTATCAACCTCCTTAAGAATACTTTGGGGTAGAATGAACACAAACCCCTATAAACTATGTATAGAGAGCAAAGCGGTAGTCACAATTTGAATTCTACCAGCATAAGATATAACCAGTTTTAATCGGTTAATGATCTTTTTCATAAGAAGTTGAAGATCCACTCTCTTCCACTTCTTGGAGGATAATAAAAGCCCAAGATATCTCATCGGAAGATGTCCTAGAGGGACCCAGTCAATCATAAGAATTGTCCGAAAGTTCCTATGGTCTACTCCGACTACAAACAAGTTAGATTTATCTACATTGGCCACAAAATTCGTTACTTCACTAAAATGAGTTAAAGCTTCCATCACTTTAGCCACAGAACTAGTTTCACATTTACAACAGATCATTAGATCATCCATAAAGATTAAATGAGTCAACTTCAGATGCTTACACATTGGATGAAAATGAAAGCCATGTATTGATCCACTTTAAGACCCTCAACAAAAACCCTATTTCTAGGACAAACAAGAGAGGAGACATTGTCATAAACCTCTCTTGCCAAAAAAAATTCATGCCCTTCACCATTTATTTTTACGATAAAATATAGTGAAGTTACGCATATCATTATCAACTATGTAGAGCTTTTAAGGAATTCATATCCAATTAGTGCATCCTCCATAAATTTTTAGCTTACCATGTCATAGGTCTTTTTTAAATATATTTTCATCAAATTATTAGGGTTTCCCCACCACTTCGCAAAGGGGCAATACTTCTGTCAGATCTAATTGACCCATGACCCTTCATACCAAAAAATATCAATTTGATTTTATGCACAAATCCATTCTGTGCTTCCCTTATTCTCTGTTTCTGTCTCACTTTTTCGAATTCCTTCTTCTTCCTCAACCTCCCTTCTTCCCTAGTCTCGTTGAAAATTTTAAATGGCAATGGAACTGTTTGTTTAAATCGAACAGTCTGAGAAGGTGGATGGGGACACGAAGAAGGAGGAAGAACGGAATCGTGGCTGAGAAGGTAGAGGAAGGGACGGAGGCGGATACTGATTTATCAGCGGAGAGAACAGTGGCTGAGACGGTGTAGAAAAAGACGAAGGAGAAGTGGCTGGAGGTAGGCACGGTGTCAGAGAGGTGGAGGAGGAAATGAAAGAGAAGGAGGAGGATGTGGATACAAGGAATTCAGTGACGGCGCCTGCCACAGATATGCATTTCTCGACATTGGAGGAGGAGGGATGAATTGGTACGAATATGGCAATCCCTCTTTCACTCGATAACCCCAATTTTGCCTGAATTGAGACATGATGATAGCGAATTGTTATGCGACGGCAAAATAACCAAGAGGTAGAAATCTACAAAGCCTGACACTTTTTATTTGATATAATGTTCTTGGGAGTTAAGTTCTTACAAGTGTCTACAACTTCCAAAAACACCACAATATCAAAACAAAAAGTGTTCTGTAGAATTCTAACTTCTTCGTCATTCCCGCCGCCGCATAACAACTTGCCGATGTCTCAGTTCAGACAGACTTGGGGTTATCGGGTGAACGAGGGCTCGCCATACTCGTACCAATTCATCCCTCCTCCTCCACTGTCGAGACATCCATATCTGCCGCCGCCTCCGCCGGATTCCTTGTATCCACAGCCTCCTCCTCCTCCACCTTCTCCGACACCGTGCCCACCTCCACCTTCTCGTCCTCCTCCTTCGTCTTTTACTCAACCGTCTCAGCCACTGTTCTCTCCTCTAGTAAATCGGTATCCATCTTCGTCCCCTCCTCCACCTTCTGAGCCCCGATTCCGTCTGCTTCCTCCTCACCCACCTTCTCAGACTGTTGGATTTAAACAAACAGCTCCATTGCCTGTGAAAAATTCCAACGAGACTAGGGAAGAGAGGAGGTTGAGGAAGAAGAAGGAATTCGAAAAAGTGAGACAGAAACAGAGAATAAGGGAAGCACAGAACAGAATTGTGGAGAAAACGAAGTTGATATTTTTTGGTAGGAAGGGTCATGGGTCAATTAGATCAGACAGAAATATTGCCCCTTTGCCAAGTGGTGGCATGACAGGCAACCTGTTGAAGAAGCAGCAGCTGAAGTAAGACGTTAATTCTGTATTTATTGTCAGCCATATTAATATGTTCCAATTGTTCTATCTATTGTCTGTTCCACTGGAGATTTAAGTTTTCAAGCATACTAGTTGGTCGTAAGTAATCTTTAATTTAGAATGCATCTACAATGTTACATACCGCTCGCGATATGCTTTGGTTTACCCTGCAATTAGACAATAAGCATAGATTTAAGGGTGAATGTACTTGTCACTGGACTGTTGAAAATGGAAGAAGAGAATAGAGAAAGGAAGAAGAGAGTAGAGGAAGATAATATATTTGATCGTTTTCTGCATTTCTCATTGATAGTACTATGAATATAAGTAATTGATAGATACAATCATAAGACGACACATGTTTGCTTCTTTAACAGAATTTAGGGCTGATAACATTCTAAATTTTCTGTTCCGCTTTAATTTAGAATACATCTACAATGTTATATACCACTATATGCTTTAATTTACCTTGCAATATGATGATAAGCATAGATTTTGGGGTTAACTTTAGACGTAAATTGGACAGTCCATCTTTTATGTGTGAAGTTGGTATTACTCTGTCAATGTGCGTCTTCGCAAATGTTCTGTTTTCTTATAGTTCTAAAATTTTCCCATATCCATACTGTGGGGCGGGCCATTTTTGCTAGCGGGTGTCCTTTCGCTCCAGTTGAGTACAAGGGGAACGTCTTCGTGTCTGGTCAGGTCTGAAATGTCACAAAACATATGGCTTTACATTTTTCCTAAATACATTTAAATTTCATAACATTAGGTACTCAATTTGTCTCTAGCGAAATAACGCATACATCTTCCCTGGTTTGGGTCTGGGGCTAATGATATCTGGTTCTATTCATGTTCATGATGACATGCTCCTGGCAGCCTTCAAGTTGTGCAAAATGTTGCTCTACTATTTAAGATAATATCTGGTGCATTCGCGTTCTGATCAACTTCTATCTCTCGATTTTTTTCTGATTATAACTTCTGTGCATATGCTGCTGTAAAAGTTTTCCTTGAATTGGAACCCTTTGATACCCTTTACACAAAGGTGGTGCCTTTAATCCTCGTAAAATCTTACATTTCTATCTCCAAATTCTTTCATATGAACAGCAGAAGCTTTAGCAGCAGAAACAAGTCAAGAGAACTTGGAGAAGGGATTAATATACCCACCATTTGCCAACATAAGGAAGATTTCAGCTCACATTGCAGCCAAAGCATGGACTTGGTATTTTTCACCTCTACAATCTTGTCACTGGAGAACTTCAACACTCTTTTTTCAACATGTATCTATCAAATATAGTATTGATGTTCACTTCTTGTTGCTCAACAGGCTTGGCCACTCGTCTACCTCAACCGGAGAACCTAGTAGCATATGCAGAGAGTTGCATGTACAGTCCAAGTTATCGTAGCTATCGCTAAGTCAAGGAAGATACATAAGTACTCATATTTCATAGCTTTGAAGATTATTATACTAAACAACCACTAATTTAGGAGGAATATATAGATAATTTTTAGTTTTGTATTGGCCACTGAGCATCTTTTGTGTAATTCTGACCCATTGGGTCAGCACAGGGCATTGGCATTGGACTCTTAAAGTTATATTTCAGAGTATGAAAAGAATCATGTTGAACTGAGATAAGTTCTACAACCTACAAATTCAAATTTAGTTACTGTTACTCCAAACAAACAAAAAAAGACTAATTTTTTTCCTTAAAACTATTCGAAATGGGACAATTTTAATTCGATAGTCGTTGAGTCACTTGCATAGGTGCAGGGATATGTTGATGAGCAATTTACTGAGTTGGAAGAACTACAAGATGATGTTACTCCTAGCTTTGTGGAAGAAGTTGTTACTTTGTTTTATAATGATTCTGCTAGGTTAATCCATAGCATTGACCCATCATTGTAAGTTTTAATTTTCTCTTGAACATATTTAATACACTGATTAATTAATATAAATATTTAATTTGTTGGATATTTAAGGGCAGTAGTTCAAGGTTAGAAATTAACAAGATGGTTATATGATAAAACTAGATGTAAATGATAACTTATTATAACAACTTTTTTCATGATTAAATTGTATGCAGCATTGGAGCCAAGAAAGTTAAAAAAATTGAATGTAAAAAGTTCATGGAATATTACCGGGCTGAAAGGGTAATTAATTATCATTAATATAAAGAATTTCTTTTACACTATCAATATAATTTATATGTATTAACATGTTACAATCAGATAAATTAAAAAGAATCAATGTCAATTATTAATATTTACTCTGAGACATTATTATAAGTGGTTAGCTTGCAGTATTGTTACCATAGGGACAGAGTACGTAGGAAAATGCATTATTTTTTGTGAAATGTAATAATAAATTTGTATAAACATTAATTAGAATTTATTAATGAATAACATTCACATATAACAAACATAAAACTCATATTTGTATGTCATAGTTATAGTTAAAATTTGCTATGTAGCATCGAATTGTATAACTTGGTGGCTCCTCTTCAGATTTGTATAATTTCGCTAGCATGTCATTTGTATAAATCATTGTCAGCCTCTCGTTTGTATAAATCATTGGCAGCCTCTCAATTCAATTTTATGTTTGTATATCTACATAAAATTTGAATTTGTATGCAATTGCATCAAAATAAAATGTTTGTATATCAAATTTGTCACTCACACACTCTCACTCACTAAATACAAACATAAATTATACATTATATTTTGTATAATTTGTGTTTGTATAAAGAGAGAAAGACAACAAAGAACTAGGTGGGAAAATATAAGTGTTGCATAATTATATGTGTATTGAACAAAAATATATGTATATGGATGTGTATATAAATTTAGTAATGTAAAAATAGCGCCGAATCGGCTTGAACGAATCGTCTCAAAAACACAATAAAAAAGCGGCGAATCGTCTTGAAAACAGCGCAGAATCGTCTTGAATTTCTCTCGCTTTATATAAACAGAAACACAATTTATATATTTGTGTTTCTTTAAAGCGAAAGTGGCGAGGGAGAGACTGGCGAGCGAGAGTGGCGAGGGAGAGATGGAGAATGGCGAGAGAGAGAAGAGGGAGAGTGGCGAGCGAGAATTTCAGGGAGAGAGACAAATTGACAATAGTTTGTTATACGATACAATTAAATCAAACTGTGATTATATTATTTAATTTAAATTAATAAATTGCTATTATATACAATTTACCCTTTATTAATTAGAATTTTATATTAGTATAAATTTAAGGAATCCCATAGTGGGTTTTATATTATAATATGTAGTGAATTCATGAGCTTAACATTTGAAAAATAAGGTCCACACTGTTTTTTTCTTTGTGTAGCACGAAAAGTTTAGCCCATAAAATTACATTTGGGCTTAATTGAGTGATACTCTAGATTAAATAGTGTTAATTTTAAAAAGTATAACATTAGAAATTACATAGTTTTAATTATAATTTATTTCTATTTAAATTGTAATTATATTAATTTCTGAAAGCTAAAATAAATGAGATACATAATATGTAGTTCGGATACATTAAAAACTAGATCGAATACATTATAAAATAAAGTGAATACATAACATGTAGCTTGGATACATTATAAAATAATTTAGAATTAGGAGAGAAATAAGAAATTTTAGAGATTTTTAGAATAGAAGAGAATATTAAAAACAAAGGAAACATAAGATGTATATAACCCAAATTTAATTGACCAAAACTTTGTTGAAATATTTTGTTTTAATTTGATATTCATATCAAACAATGTCATATTAAAAATTAAAATACTCAAAACGTTATACAATTAATTAAAATCCATTTGATACATTTTCAACTACAATATAAACAAAAAAGAAATTAAAGCAATATATTTGTAACTATCAATTCTTCACATTTTATCCAAATTGTCTTAGCTATGAAAATGCAAAATAATAATAATAAAAAAAGAGAACTGACTCACCTTGGTTCACGTTATAAGTGCATCATTACAAACAAAAATAGATATGCAACTCAACACTTGTTAAAATATGTTTTGTAACGTAAACATCAGTTACACTAAAAAAAATTTTAAAAAAAAGAATAAGGTCCCCCATGTGAAAGAAAGAAAAAAAAAAGAAAAGCTAAAAACGAAACAAAACAAATTAAAGACTATTTACGTGTTATGTGTTATTACTACAAGTGAAAATATAAATATTCATCTAAATAAAATATATAATAAAAACACTTATTAAAATATTTTTGTAACTTAAAAGGCCTATTGAAAACGAAAACACTTATACATGAGAGAAAAATATTAAAGAAGAGCATAAAAAATGACAAATCAAAGATTATTCATATTCTTTACGTTATATTTTAAAAATAAAAATACAAAACATGCAATAAAACACGAAAAAAGAAAAAAAGGAAACATTTATTTTGTGACATATCTACTCAACTTGTCATTTATTGGACTATTTAGTATATTAATTTATTTATCAATTTTATAATCAATGGACAATACTAATAATTGAAGTGTAGCAAAATTAAAAGTCTAATTTGACAATATCATATTTATTTAATATGATCCATCAATTATTTATTTAATTCTAAAATAAATCATAAGTCAAGAGTTTAATATCATGTTTAGAGTTTGTTTTTTCTTATGAGTTTTTAAACAATAAATGTAAATTTACTAAAAAAAATAGAAAAAAAGAAAATATTAAAAAATATTTCAAGTAAAAAAAATTATACAAGTAAAGAAAAATACGTGACAGATAATTACTGATATATATGACAATTCTTTTTTAGAAAAAAATTTAAATCAAAAATAAAATATCATGTTTGAATACTTTATTTTTAAAGCTGAACCTTTTAATGATTTTTAAAGTTACTTACATATATTTTAAACTAATAAAATATTAAGATTTTTTATAAGTAAATATAATTTGTGCCAGCAAAGAAACACCTGTAACAAATAAATGTGGATTAATATAACAATATTATTTATTTTCTACTTATATAACTCATAAATATCAATAGATATGACAATTTTATTTATTTTTTTATTTTCTTGAATAAGTCATAACTTAAAAGTAAAACATAATATCTTGAGTTTGATTCCTTTTATGAATTTTTAAGAAAATGAAATTAACGCCACTTACATATTTTTTTAAAAGGAAATATAAAAAATGTATTTATACAGATAAAGAAACACTTATAACATGTGAATGTTAACAAATTTGTCGGTTTAATTTTTATACTTATTTTCTAAAAAAGGTCAGAAATCAAAAGTAAAACATCATAATTTGAGTTGAAGCTTTTTATAATTTTTATTAAAAATAAAGTTAAAACTAAGTAAATTTTAAAAAAAGATATAGAAAAAATGTATTTATATGCAAATACGAAAATACTTGGAACAAGTGAATGTTAATAAATGTGACAATATTATTTATTTATTTATTTTCTGAAAATAGCATAAATCCAAAGTAAAATGTCAAGTTATTCAAATTTTGAATTGATCATTTTTATCATTTAAATAAAATAAAAGTAAAAGCTATTAAAATTTAATAAGAAAATAATAAATATGAAGAATATTCACAAGTAAAAATAAGTTTTATATAATAGATAAATGTCAACAATACAATTCCGTTTATCTGTTTGTTTTCTATAAAGTAATAAATCAAAAGAAAATTATATTCTTTTGAATATTTAAATTTGAGTTATGATTTTTTTTTAAAAAATAATGAAGTTAAAGATAGTTAATTTAAAAATTAAAGATAATAATATATTAAGAAGTTATATTTTGTATAATGTTTATAAATTTATGCTCTTAAATTTGTTCGTTTTGGTGATTAAAAATAAATTTTTCTTTACAAATTATCATTGTTAGACTCATATATCTTCACAAATTACTTTTTTCGTATTTTTTCTATAATTCTCGCTCAACTCACATTTTTTATGAGCGTCATCGGGTAAATCACCGGTTGGCTCCTTATAAATAATGTTAGGGATCAGCCGGCTCATCCTTAGAATTCAAGAAAAAAAGAGACAACAAAATTATTTTATTTCGATGACATATCTATTAATTTCGTAAGTTATCCGATTGATTTTATCATAACCCTAATTGAGAAGAGTTGAAATCTCATTCTAACTTCAGGTTCTTGTAGTTTTTAAGTGCAGGAGAATCATGAAAGGGAGGAGTTTTGCCGACTCTTTAAACCTAGAAATAACAATGATTTCTACTTGGCAATTTCGGTAAGTATCAACCGTACAAATTCATTTGATTAATTGATTTGATTGATTTTTTTTTTTTGCCAAAGTTGAAATCTTATTCTAACTTATGTTTTTTGTGGTTGTTGAGGGTTGGAGAAATGAAAACAATGGTTTTTGCCGACTCTTTGATCTTAGAAATAGATGAGATTTCGACAAGGTTAGTCGTACAGATCTTATTTTTTAGCCAAGGTTGGAATCTCATTCTAATTTAAGGTTCTTGTGATTCTTGAGTGCAGGACAACAGGTGAATCAGAAACAGATGGTTTTTGCCAACTTTTTGATCTGAGAAATGGACGGCGATTCTTTTTTCCGGCGATTTCGATAAGTATCAGTTGCACATATTCATTTTATTAATTGTTGGTGGATATTTTGTACTTACCATGAACATAAAACAAAACAGAAGATAAAAAAAAATCCAATGTTTTTCAAAAATTATTAGGATTTTTTGGTAAATTGTAAATGTGATAAACAAATAAAAGGACCATTAAATCTATAGAGCACCTAAATCCATAGCCCCCTTCTAAGAAGGTTTTATTTCTTTAAACCTCCAACTCAACAAGAAAATAGTTACATAGAGAAATGTTGACTCAACATATTATTTTTATTAGCCTTCTATATCCCTTGAACAATGTCATTCTTTCTATAAATTCTGTTTTTTATCTGTGCAGTTACTATGTTACTATTTACAATTGTTCCTCTATACAACTTTCAGTTTCTTTACCTCCAAATGTGGTGAACTATGACACTTCAAACTGCTGCAACCATTTTTATTTTTTTATATAGATATGCCTCCAATTTTTGTTGATTCTTTATAGTACTTATCACACCTCACATGTATACACATGTATGTCAGCCCAAGGTAAATACCAACTTTCACTTATCCCAACCAAGTGCAGTGGGTAAATAGATGCAATTGGGTCTTCATCACTTGGTTGTGGCATAAACAATATATCTCATTATTAGTAGAAATGTTCAAACATAACATCCTATAAGTGCTTCCTCCAAAAATTTCCAGCTTACCATGTCATAGATCTTTCTTAAATATATTTTCATTAAATTATTAGGGTTTAAAATTCGACTGTGTTAACTCTCTTTTTCAAAATTTAAAAAAAAGTATCAAATAGATTTTCGAGTTATTAGGTGAAATCATTCATTAATCAATTATAAATGAGATTGAAATTAGTCTAGTTGTTTTCTAGTGTTGGAATTGAATCAAGAATGGTACATCTGTGTTCTCAAAATAAAAAAATGGGTATTTCAAACCTAATATCCAACAAAAAATAGAGCAAGTAATTTCCAAACACACTTTTCAATGCTGACAAGATGGTAAATATGAATTTCTTCACAGTGGAATAGGAGAAATGTATTGGTACGAATATAACAATCCTTTCATTCACTGGTAACAATAATTTTGTGTGAATTGAAACATCAATATGTTGTCAAAGATTATGGCGGAGAAACCTAAAGTCAAGTGATATGATGGAGAAAATGTCGTAGATGTAAAAGTCTAGAAACCCACACTTTTTGTTTGATATAGTAGGAAGCCATAGACACTTATAGAGACTCAACTTCTAAGAACACTATATCTAACAAAAAGTGTGAATTGTAGATTTCTACATCTAAACCATTCACCGCTGTCACATAGAAATTTTCTACCATCATCGATGTCTCAATTCAGGCAGAATTAGCGTTATCGAATGAAAGAGGAAACAACAATAAATACAGAATTTACGTCTTACTTTAGCTGTTTCTTCTTCAATAGGTTGCCTGTCATGCCATCACTTTGCAAAGGGAAAATATTTCTGTTTAATCAAATTGACCCATGACCATTCGTACCAAAAAATTTCAATTTGGTTTTCTCCACAATTCTAATCTGTGCTTCCCTTATTCGTTGTTTATGTCTTAATTTTTCAAATTCCTCCTTCTTCCTCATCCTCCTTTCTTTCCTAGTCCCATTGGAATATTTAACTGGCAATGAAGTTATTTGTTTAAATCGAACAGTCTGAGAAGGTGGGGAAGGACACGAAGGAAGAAGTAGATGGAATCGTGGATGAGAAGGTGGAGGAAGGGACGGAGGTGGATGTCAATTTATCCGCGAACAAAACAGTGACTGAGACGATGGAGAAAAAGACAAAAGAGAAGTAGCTGGAAGTAGGCACAGCGTCAGAGAGGTGGAGGAGGAGATGAAAAAGGAGGAGGAGCACGTGGATACAAGGAATTCAGCGGCGGGTTCGGCCGCAGATATGCATTTTTCGACATTGGAGAAGGAGGGTTAAATTGGTATGAATATGACAATTCCTATTTTACCCGATAACCCCAATTCTGCCTGAATTGAGACATTGATGATGGTGGCAAATTATTATGCGACACCGGCAGCGACAGCGATAGCGGAAATGACCAAGAGGTAGAAATTTACAAAAGCCGCATAACAGTTCGCCACCACCATCGATGTCTCAGTTCAGAATTAGGGTTATCGGTTGAACGAGGGATCGCCATATTTGTACCAATTCATCCCTCCTCCTCCTGTGTCGAGACATCCATATCTGCCGCCGCCTCCGCCAGATTCCTTGTATCCACATCCTCCTCCTCCTCTACCCTCTCCGACATCGTGCCCACCTCCACCCCCTCCTCATTCGTCTTTTCTCAACCACTGTCCTCTCCGCTAATAAATCGGTATCCGCCTTCGTCCCTTCCTCCACCTTCTAAGCCACGATTCTGTCTTCTTCCTCCTTCTTTGTGTTCTCACCCACCTTCTCAGATTGTTCGATTTAAACAAACAGCTCCATTCCCAGTTAAAAAATCCAATGAGACTAGGGAAGAGAGGAGGTTGAGGAAGAATAAGGAATTCGAAAAAGTGAGACAAAAACAGAGAATAAGGGAAGCACAGAATAGAATAATAGAGAAAACCAAATTGATATTTTTTTGGTATGAAGGTCATGGGTGAATTAGATCAGACAAAGTATTGCCCCTTTGCCAAGTGGTGGCATGACAGGCAACCTGTTGAAGAAGCAGTAGCTGAAGTAAGACGTTAATTCTGTATTTATTGTCAGCCATATTAATATGTTCCAATTGTTCTATCTATTGTCTGTTCCACTGGAGATTTAAGTTTTCAAGCATGCTAGTTGGTCGTAAGTAATCTTTAATTTAGAATGCATCTACAATGTTACATACCGCTCGCGATATGCTTTGGTTTACCTTGCAATTAGACAATAAGCATAGATTTAAGGGTGAATGTACTTGTCACTAGACTGTTGAAAATGGAAGAAGAGAATAGAGAAAGGAAGAAGAGAGTAGAGGAAGATAATATATTTTGATCGTTTTCTGCATTTCTCGTTGATAGTACTATGAATATAAGTAATTGATAGATACAATCATAAGACGACACATGTCTGCTTCTTTAACAGAATTTTGGGCTGATAACATTGTAGATATATTCTATATTTTATGTTCCACTTTAATTTAAATTACATCTACAATGTTATATACCACTATATGTTTTGATTTACCTTGCAATATGATGATAAGCATAGATTTTGGGGTTAACTTTAGACGTAATGCAGATGATCATTCCATAGGGTGGGTAAGTGATAAATTTAATTGACATCAGTAATTTAGATGGCTGTGGTATTTACTTAATTTTCTGAATGACTTTTTTTCTATCATGTTGTTCAACAAATAACTAAATACACCAACCATCCGAATTACTGATGTCCATTAAGACTATTCGTTTTACATATTAGAGATTGCTAAACGTTCTGTTATTTCATGTGTACTCTGCTGATTCAGAAATGAATTTCCAGATCCGTCAGCACAGCTTAAGATTTTGAAATTAAGAATAGACCAAGATTGTTATGTGATTCTGCCTTTTTTCTCTCCATAATGCTAGTCCTCACTCACTTGTATTTATGATAATCAATACATCCACCAATGCATCTTCTGAAAAATTGTCACAAGCAATCATTAATTTATTACCACTCCTGTTTCTGTTGTCTTCTTTTGAAAAGAAATGTCATTTCATTGACTAGAAAAAGAGTAAGAGAATTCATGTATACGAGATGGTAAGAAAAGATAGCAATCTGGTACGCATCTGGGAATGCTATCTTTTCTTACCATATCTCGTATACATGAATTCTCTTGCTCTCTTTCTAGTCAATGAAACAACATTCCTTATAAAAAGAAGACAACAAGAACGGGAGTGGTAATAAATTAGTAATTGTTGTGACACTTTTCCCTTTTCTTTATTAAAAAAACTCATGGAGTCATTAGATCATAACAATCTTGGTGCTGGAGATGACATGAACAACTAATACTATGTTGCCAGGTATAAAGACTCGGTTGTGTTTGTGACTTTTGATGGTGCTCCAACTGCTGGTTCAGAAACCTACAACAAGCTGTATAAAACTGTTCGTGATGCATATGAATCACAGGTGAATTTTCTCACCCAGCCCCTACCCCCTATGATTTGTACCTTTTCTGAGTGTTGAACTCAGCTTAGCTGCACTTTTATAATTTGGTTGATTACTTAGTTGTATTAATATTTCTCTCATGTGCGCATTTGCAGGTACGAGGTGATGATGCAAACGATCCTACTACATACGTTAGCGGCATTTGGTGGAACAGTGGCCCATTACATGGTAAAACTCTGTTAACTTGTTTAACTTTATATGTGGTTTAGCCTGAAACTTAACACCCACTGTGGATGTGATGTGATTCAGCCTGTTCCAGCAAAGCTTGTTTTGCAAACAACGATACCTGAAGAGGCAAAATCAAATAATGAAGTCGAACATTTCCCAGATGCTTCCAGAGTTACAGTAAGGAAGAGACCAACAGTAACTACCATTGAAGCCAAGCCCGCCTCTTGCTTCATTATCTTTTCCTCTATGGCCTTTATTTTTGCAACTAAACTGATTATGACATTATTGGTATCTTTTAGGGGGTTATACAACAACTTTGAAGGGGAAGTGGTTGAAGTCAGAGATGCAAAAAAATCACTCATGAAGATGTTGTTGGCAAACAACCGAACAGTAGGCATGATTGACTCCTTCACAGTTCTTTATGTTGATCAGATCATTTTCAGCAAGAAAATGGAAAAAGAGAAAGGGTAGGTACATGAGAGAAGTTGCATAAATAAACAATGCATTGTACCATATGAGCATTTCGCTCTTTGGAAAGATTGAACTTTCAAGTAATTTGCATATGCGAATGATTGTTTGGACTGACAATAATTTTTCTGTGGTCTCTCCTACCCCTTACCCTCTTCACAGTTCTCACATTAGGTTTAGCAATTTGTGTTTTGAGAAATTAGAAGAAGAAAAGATATTGGGAAATGAATTGATTGATTATTCCTCAAGTTGGGATTAAATAGTTGTTATAGATGATGTAAATAAGGAAAGAAACTAATAAAATACCCTTCGCGGTGGCACAGTGGTTTGGGCTTATGTTGGATGCCTCAAGTTCGAAACCCCTTGCCTTTGAAAGCAAGGGGTTTGCAAAATCCTTCACTTGAGTTCTTAAGAAGTTTCTTGTAAATCTATGGATTGCACAAATATGAGGTACAATTTGTGTTGAGATGAATAAATCATCAATATTAATATGATCAAATCTTATCTTGGATGATAGATGAACGTTGAAGAAAATTAGGATTCTTGAGAGGGGAATTTTTGGACTTGGGGATGAACCACGAGCATAAGGTGCTATATAGTGTTTTTTCATGTGTGTTATCGCACAATTGACGTCTTGTGCACAATAAGGTTACTGCATTGCTTACACTGTGCAATAGCGGACAACTTAGGCGTGCAACAAGATAGCGTCCAATAGTAAAATGGGCATAATATATGGCACAAATACCAAAGTATGAACAACTTTTTGCATTAAAAACTAGACTCAAATACCTTCAATTTGATAGGATCCGAAGCTTTGAGCCACTTAATTTTTTATATTATAAGAGATATGCTTGTTTGAAGTTGAACTTTGCTCAGACTCATGAAAAATTTCATCGATAACAAAGCTTTTAGTCCAACTTTGAGCTAGAGTTTCTTTAGGACATTAAGGGGTTGTTTGGTGTTGTGAAGTATAGGTGACAAATTGGTGAGTTGGGGTAAATTTAGGTGGGTTGAAAATGGTATAATTCAACCCGTTCGTATTTTATCTGATATGGGTAAAATTGGATTGTAACAAATGAGTTGGGTAAAATACAAATTTATTCATATTTACCCATATTATCATATGATTATATAGTACTCCATTTAAGAATTCAACATGGAAAAATATTTTCTTTGGATGGAAAGTGCTGAAAATAATTTATTTAGTTTTCTTGTATTATAAAAGTAAAAAAAAATCCTATAATTTTTCAATATAGAATAAATTCATGTAATAACAAGGGAATTATTTTGAATTTCAAAGTAAATGAATATTTGCATTTTAGGACAAAACATGGTTATTGCACTCTAAGCAATATCAATATTAATACATGATTTGCTTATTTTACAATATTAATTGTTATCCAATATAAAAAAAATACAAAAATAAAAATAATTATAATTAACATAAGAAATATCCATTTAAAAACATATATCTTTTGGAGAACTAAAGGCTTCACCTTTTCAATTATAGAGAAGAATTAATTTTATAGAAGAACTTAAAAAAGGAAGAGAAGTTACAATATTTTTAGTGATGTCATGAATTATAAGTGGATAGAAGTTGGAAGCTTTAACCCATTTGGCTATTCCATATTTTATTCATAATTTATCATATTTTTATGGGTTGAGTATGGGTATCGACCCATATTTACAAATATAAAAAATCACTCACCTAACTCATTTAAATATGGACGGACCACCAAAATATAGGACTCGTTTTGCCAGCACTAATGTGAAGGATAACATCAAGTAATCCTGAGATTAATTATAGTGCCATTTAATTTGTTATTTCATTGGCAAGTTTGGGATAATGTAGGTTACTTGACTCTTCTTTTTTGAATTACTTATCCCTTTATTATGGGTACTCATGAGTTATGACATGATACCTGAAAGAAAAATATTTAGGCACAGAAAATAGTTGAAAGTCACAAACTGGGCCGCGTTAGCAAAATGTAACAAATCTATTTCTAGGATTAATTTTCCTAGATAGTCATTCATATTTGGGAAATTATCTAGAAATATCACTTATCTTTGTTTTAGGACTACAATATCACCTAGGGGTGTGCAAAAACCGAGCCGACCAATAAACCGAACCGATAAAATGTTATTGGATTATTGTTATTGGTTTATTGGGTTTTTAATGGGTTTAGAAAAAATTATTATTGGGTTATTGGGTCGGTTTCGGTTTTTCCTATTGGGTTATTGGGTAAACCAATAACCCAATAAGACGATAGTTATTTACTACTTTACCCTTCCTCAATATTAAATATACATAATTTAATACATAATAGATGCATTATTAGCTTTTCAGGCTATGTGATTTTTTGGTTAGAAAATTGGTGAGAACTTTGTTGATTATCTGGTGGATCAAGCAACTGTCAAGATTGTCTCATTGAAATATTTTATTTTAGTTTTAATTCTAGTGCGTAATTGTAGGCGATAGCTTTTGCAAGTTTGTGAATGTTAGTAATTTGATCAACATTCAAAGTTTTCTATTATATTTTGGCGGTAAGTTGGTAACATGTAATTATAACATACGTACTATTATATATTATTTGATCGACATTTTTTTATTGGGTTAACCGAAACCGAACCGATAACATCAAAAACCGATAAACCGATAAAAAATTTCTTATTGGTTTGTTATTGGGTTAGCATATTTTAAAACCGAAAACCGATAAACCGAACCGATTATATGTAAATACGAACCGAACCGACCGATGCACACCCCTAATATCACCTAACTTTGCCTAATTTTCTCAAAATATATTTGACACAAAAATAAATACATTATTTTTCTCCTACTATGTCATGTCACATTTTCTAATTTATTATTAATATTTTTCTAATTCTTTTAAAGAACCGGAGAAATACATGTACTTTCTTGAAGAATTGGAGGAGCTCATAGTACAGTTCTTAATGTACTTTGTTTACTCGGTATGATATGTGGATTTGTTTATTTTTTTAAAAGAGAATCTATCTGTATATAATAGGAGAAGTAAAAAGTGTCACATGTCAGCACCACAAACACTCAAGAGTTTTAATTTTTCAAAAATCATTTTAAATATGTTTTAAAAATACAATTAGAAAAAACAAGAATTTTAATATGACTATTTTAAATAGAAAAATAAAAGTTTTTTTGTTTAAAGAAAACTGTAACGGAAAAAAATGGATGATTTTTAAATGCCTCTAAATATCTAATTTCAATTTTAAAGGAAAAAAATGAAGTTGAACTATTTTTTTTCTCTATAAAAACAGTAATGGCTATTACGGGAAAAAAATAAAAAAATCTTTCAATGCTTCAAATTTCAATTTTTAAGGTTAAAAAATGAAAATTGAAAATTGAATTATTTTATAAAAAAAAATTGTAATGTCATTTATATTTATCACACCTTCAGTGATTTTAGCGAATGCTCCAACAAAATGAAATGTAGAAATATCTATCTAAATAGGAGAAGAAAAAGAACACCATAAAAAAGATATAATTATTATTTAAAAATTAATTAAAAAACTTATAGTAAAAAATAATAATTATCATCAAAAAATTAAAAAGCTTATTTTAAAAAATAGTTAAAACAGTTCATTAGCAGTTAGCTGTAGAAATATGGCATTTTTCTCAATTCATTTTTAAAATTTATCTTTACATATCTAAAAACACAACATTTTCAAAAAACATAAATAGAAAATAATATTTTTAAAGAAAACATATTGCAACCTAACGTTTAAATAGGTTTAAATCATATTTTTTAATAATAAATAAATAAATAATGTGACATGACATCTTAATAAGAGTGAGATAATGTATATTTTGTATTTAGTATAATTTGAAAAAAATAAATAAAATTGAATGATATTATAATTCTAAAACAAACATAAGTAATATTCTTAGGTAATTTCTCAAGTGACTATCGAGGAAAATTACTCACATTTCTAGCAACAACTGTTAGCCCAACAAGCTCAACTAGCCTGTGTTATATGGTTGGGAATTTGGGTAATTTTTCCACAAAATAAACTTTAGCTTTTTAATTTATAGTATGGTTTAAGCATAGTTGTATTATGCTAGCTTTCATGTTTCTCAAATCATTAAACTTTTTTAAAATTGAATAAATATCTATTTTTAATAAATTTAATATTTCGATAAATGTATTAGAAAAATGATTTTATAATTAATAATAAAAATAAATTAGAAATTAAGTGAGAAAATATCTTTTGTTTACTAAACTGAACAAGTAAAAGTGAACATTCATTTTTAGTATTATGAATAAACAGAGTCGTATGCAGGAGGGAATTATCGGGTTCATATAAACTCATGCTTCCAGTTGAAATAGTAATGTTGTATATTTTTCTTAATTTTTTGTTAAACATAAATGTGTGATCACACTTGATGTATCATATAATGCGACGATGATTGAATGCACCTCTCACTGAGATTAGAAATTTGAGTTTTATATCTAAATTGTTCTATGTTTCTTTTTAAGATTTAGTAACGTCTTTATAGGTGGATATTGATAACAATTTTTTGGCGGTTTAATTTATTAAGCATTTCAATTTTGAAACTGTAATTTAAAATTCTAACCGTTGTCACTAATAGGAATCTAACTGTAATTTAAAATTCTAACCATTGTCACTAATAAGAATCTAACTGTAATTCAAAATTTTAACTGTTTTCAGTAACAAGAATCTAAATATCAGATCTAATAGATTCGCCTTTTTATAATAATGAACTTATTATTTCGAAATCCTGAATACTTTTCTGTGAATAAATAAACATGTAAATCTCGTGTCTCGTTAGAAATTGATGTTACTCTCTTTATTCTATTCTAAAAATAGATTGTTACTTATTCTTCAAATTATTTTTCACCATTAGTAAGTGATATTAATTATCATTTTTAATTTTTAAATAATGTGCAAAATTTGAATTGGACAAGAAAAGAGTAATTTTTTCTTATATTTGGTCAAAGAAAGTTTTTTGTTTTTTTTTGGGAAAGTTGCAAAAACATAGGCGACGGCTATATATTGGTGATGCTAACTCAAGTGCCAATTTTGCTGAGCTAAACAAACACTTTGTCTCCTACTCAAATTCC